ACTGATGCCAAATATTGGTTTCTGAAACTGGCCCCCTGATACACACCTTTGTTTCCTAAGAGACCCAGGCTTCAACCACTCGGAAAGACCACAATACACCTGGTTGCTTCATTGTTGACTGGCGAATTGAAGTTTAGGATGTTCCCGTGTGGTTACCAGTAAATAGAACCACTCTGAGTACTTCTTTTAGCATCATTTTCTTAATTAGACCATTTGGGAAAAGTATTGAATCCTGATTCAGGAGGTAGATTAAACTGTAAAATTGAAATGATTGCTGTTTACTTAAAATTGTTCAGTGATTAATCTTAGTTTTTTCACTTTATTTAGTGATTCATTGGTTTATTGCTTCTATCAGTCATTTATTCAATGAGTGTTTAAATGTCTACTATCATTTAGCAAGTTTTGTGCTAATTGCTAAGGGTACAAGCAATGAAGATGACAGGCAGGTTACCAGATGCAATGATACTTAAACATGGATGGGTATCTACACAGTAATTTTTTACTTTCAATTACAACGGTATAAGGTTATTTCAATTCATTGAGCATTTATGAAGTCACTTCTCTATGAAGCCATGAACTGCTAGACATAACAGTGAGGGCTATGAAAGGAATGCACCGTGGTTCTTGCCTTCTGGGCCATTGTTATGTGGTCTCAGATTCAAGCATATTTAAAATTATTCGTAAAACTAGGTAAACACTGTAGTAATAAATGAAGTTCTATGAGGTTAGGGGGAGGGAGAGCAAGAGCAAAAGAGAGAGAAGGAGCACAAGGGCGAGAGAATGAGAGAGAGAGAGAGAGAGAGAGAGAGAGAGAGAGAGAGAGAGAGATGAAAGAGGAGGGGTTAGAGTTAAAACCAACAACAAAATGCACATTGAGAAAAAAGGTGGAGGGAGATGGGGAGAGATGAGAATCCCTTCCTGACAGAATTAAAACAAACAAACAAACGACCTACATGTTAAGGGAATCAAGTAAGGAAATTTTCTAACAGTAAGAAAAATTGCTGTAGATAGCAAGTTCAATCTAGAAAGGTACATAAAGGCTGTGTTATGAAGGCATTTAAATAACAAGTAGGTTGGGGGGACAAGAGGAGATAAACCAGGGAACTTACGTGCTTATATGCATAGCCTATGAACAAGGGCAATCAGGTAGTGAAGACCTGTGGGGGCGGAGGGAGCTGGGAGAAGGGAGAGAAAAGGGGTGGGGGGATGAAAGATACTATCTATACCCATACATACTATATGCAGGGTATTACTAGCTGTAATACTATCAACAATAAAAAATACATTAAAAAAATAAAACAACAGGTTCAGGAGGTGGGGCATTGTGGAGCATGTGAACCAGGCTAACTGAAAGCTTCCCAGCAGGGGAGAAACATTGGTTTGATCTGTTTCAGAAAGGCATGTTGGTGGAGATACTTAAGAGGTATTGGAAGGGAAAGAGCCCAGATACCAGTTGGGCAAGAACTTCATTGGTTTGGATGAGAGGTAATAAGAATTCCAAGGAGGGCAGAGGAAATGGTCACTGAAAGGAAGAGATAGATAGAAGAAAGTGACTTGAGGCAAAACCAAGAATTGTCTGACCAGTGAGATGGTGCTGGTGAGGGAGTTAGTGGTGGGTCTTTGTTATTTGTGAGCAATGTGAGAGGGGAACACGAAGGGGTATTTTCTAATACCTACATTTTGTGACTGAGTCACAGATTGGATTTTGCAAGTAGTTTTTGATGCCTTTTAAGAGAGCTGTTTTATTGAGTGTTGGAGACAACACCACAATTGTAATAAGCCGATGACAACGTGGAAGAAAAATCTGAATCAGTGAGCAATGTCAACTCAAACTGTTAATTATAGAACTAAAAAAAAAAGTGACCCTCCAAATTATATTTCTTTAAAAACAGATTTCTACTTCGTTGTTTAGTCAGGGCCAAATAAATGTTTCTTTGATGCAAAAAAAAAACGAGTATAAAAGCTCTTTCTTATTTTAATAAAAATGACAGGAGTCATTAAGCGCTTAGTATGTGCCAGGGACTGTTCTAGGTGAGTTTATATGCACAATGAGAAACCAGATCATACAAATCACACAGGAATTGGTAATTAGCAAACATTGGTAACAGCTTCATTTTTGTAAAAATTGTAAATATGAAAAAGATTGAATCCTGATATCAAATTTGTATAAATTTTTGTCCTGTATTTGTTTAGATGCTCACCATGCAGAAATCAGGATGCTGAAACAGGAAATCAAATAAAATATTCTGCAATTTCTAGCTGGCTACTTGGCTCTTCTGAGCCCTTAGCTTCAAGGATTTTTCAAAATATATTTTTCTGCACCACAGCTCAGAGTTGCTAAATCCAGAAATTGAAACATTCTGAGAACCAAATCATTTCAGGGTGAATCAAAGCTCTTGGAACATTGCCCTAGGATTTTGAAGATAGTGTTTAATAGTAAAAAAAAAAATAGTTCAATATTTTTTAAGGAAATCCCAATTATGAAGGCTGCCCCATTCACAGCCCCAGCGGCGCAGGGGGTCTGACACAGGATGTTACTCCTGTGAGGAGCCAGGGCCCTCTGGGTAAAGGTAAAGGTCTTCTGGCCCCTGGCAGCTCCGCCAGTATTTCCACTCGTACAGTGACCATTTGTGAGAAAATCTGAGGCTGATGTCTGCTTGTAACTCCACCTTAAAACCTGAAAATAGCTTCCCTCCTTTATTTCATTCTAACCAGCTTCACTTCTGGCTGCCATTTCAATGCCAGCCACTGTGACCGTTCAGAGCAAGGGTTTCTCTCTCTGCTCAAACTTCTCCGCTGCCATATCTGTGTTTTTGCTTGTTTGTGCTCTGCAGGACTGCTGATGGAACAGGAGGATGGGGAGGGAGAGCGTGGACATAGTTAAACAAGTCTTAAGACCAAGAGGCATTTAACACAGTGGAAAGAGAGTTGGGGAGTGAAAAGACATAGGAATGTGAAGTCACTGATTTTGTAACTTGGGGCAAGTTACTTAATGCTTTTGTATCTGTTTTCTCATCTGTGAAGTGAGGATAATAAAACTTACATCATAGGATATTTGGGGGAATTAGATGAAACAGAGAGAGCACATTGTAAGGGATTAATGCATGGGGACAGATGCTATTATCCTATATAATAAAAGGCTAATATGCAAAATGACCGAACGGCAGAATGACTGGTTGCTATGATGTGCACTGACCACCAGGGGGCAGTCGCTCAATGCAGGCGCTGCCCCCTGATGGTCAGTGCACTCCCACAGGGGGAGCACCACTCAGCAAGAAGCCAGGCTCATCGCTGGCGAGCGCAGTGGCCTAAGCCATCAGTTGGACATTCCCCGAGGGCTCCCGGACTGCGAGAGGGTGCAGTCCAGGCTGAGGGACCCCCCCCCCGCAAGTGCACGAATTTCGTGCACCTGGCCTCTAGTTAGTAATATATAACAAGAAAAGAGAGGAATAAAAACAAAGGTGAAGCAGGAATGAGGGGAGCCACAGGGTGAAGGGCCACCAGCTACAATGCTTGGCAACTCAGAAGATGCTCTTACACCTCCCTGTAAAGTGATGAGGAACTTGACCATCTCTCCATTCCACAGACTTCTCCTCTCATAAGCAGGACTGCAAGGCAGAGTGAACTGTGCTAACCCGAAAGATCCTCTTTCCAAGTTCAACTCAATTTTTAGAGTTAGCCTTTTCCAGAATGCTGTCACCACCGATCTCTTCCAAGAATGTCCTCCTTTTCTATTGAATCAAGGCAATAAATGATGCAATGTCTGGCATGTTCTCAGATTGCTTCCTGGAGGCGTGGCTTCCAAATGAGATGGGGATTTCCTTGAGTGAAGGAAACTCGCCTTATACTTCTTATACGTCCACCATAGGACCTTGCATAGCTGAGCACATGGAGAAGCCCTAAGCCAAATACTATAATGAGGACTTGAAGATTGGAGCCTGGTTTCTTATACCACAGAAAACCATGAGAGGGGGGACATTTCTTTCCTCAATAGGTGGTAAATTTTCTCTCAGAGATAGAAGGGAGATTTACTTCTTCCTTGTTAATTTTCCACATGGTCGCCTCACTTTCCTCTCCATTCATAAAAATTCATATACCTTTGACTTAAGGTTATTTAATTTTTCCATTCGAGCCATGAGGATGCTGCTAGCCCAAGGGCTGCAGTGATAGTAATCGAGTGGGGTTTGGTGCCCAAGACTCAGGACTTCTAGCCCCAGGTTCTCATGGCTCGTCAGCCTTGTTATTTTCTCTTATTTTACCCCCCATGAAAATCATTCAAGAATTATACATTTCACAGGGAGAAAACAGTACATGTTTAAGCAGGGATTTCTAATTGGGCTCAAAGTTTGCTAGGGTTCTGTGGAGGAATTGTTGTAAGGCTTCATGTTTCTTTGTGAAACTGATTTTGTTTTTTCATTTCTAAGCTGGAGAAGAGCACAATGCACATATGCCCTGCATACAGTATGTATGGGTATAAATGTGTATCTACACCTATATATAAACATGTGCACACACTACTCAAATCTCTCCTCTCTGATAGATAATACTGTCATCATTATTCTTTAGAATTGCTTGCCCCAGGTTAATGAAAAGCTGTGTTTGAAAGCAATCAGTGCTAATATTAACATTTAGATCAGAATATATAATATAAACATCGAAGGAGCTTGGCACAACCCAGAGTGAAAAACAAACAAACAAACAAAAACCACACACACACACACACACACACACACACACACACATATATACACACAAATGAAAGGGGAAACTTAAGCAAATAATTCTTACAATCTCCAGTCTTGATTATTACCCTCAGATCATCTCTTCATCATCTTGTTCCTCTTTCTTATCTTAGTTATCTGTTGTTATGTAACAAATTATCCCTGATCTTAAAGACGACAAATGTTTGTTATCTCACACAGTTTCTGGGGGTCAGCAATCTGAGAGTCTTAGCCTGGTACTCGTGGCTCAGGGGCCATGAGTTAGTGGTTACGTGGTCAGTGGGGCTGCAGTTATCTGAAGGCTTGACTGGGGTTGGAGGACCTCCTGCCAAGCTCACTCTTGTGGCTGTTGGCATGAGGCTTCTGCCTTTCACCATGTGGGCTCCACCATAGGGCTGCTCACAACATGGCTTTCCCCAGAACAAGTGACACACACACGCACAGAGAGAGAGAGTGAGAGAGAGAGAGAGAGAGAGAGGAGAGAAAAGAGAAAGAGAAAATGAGTGAGAGAGAAGAGAGAATGAATGAATGAGCTCACAAAAGAGATGGAGGACACAGTATCATTCATATTTCAATATTAGAAAGACAAACCATAAGATCTGATGTGTTTTATTGATCACTTAGACCAGTGGTCGGCAAACTGTGGCTCGCGAGCCTCATGCAGCTCTTTGGCCTCTTGAGTGTGGCTCTTCCACAAAATACCGACTTCTGCGCATGGGCCATAAAGTTTCAATCTAACTGTACGTGCATGCCCGCATGTGGTATTTTGTGGAAGAGCCACACTCAAGGGGCCAAAGAGCCGCATGTGGCTCACGAGCCAGTTTGCCGATCACTGACTTAGACCAACCTTGGTACAATGGGGGAGGAGACTACACAAGGATGTGAACATCAGGAGACAGTAGTCATTGAGGGTCATGTTGGAGGTTGGCTACCACATCTCCTCTCCTCCTTAACTTGTGCCCGCCTTATTTTGAAGCCTCTCTTTGGAATGAATTGTTCCTTGCCAAGTGGTAGCAATTTGCTTCAGTGCTGTTGCTAGACAGTAGAGGGTGCTATTGGTGTGTGTGGGCCTAAGTTGAACTTTGAAGGTAGAGCTATGATGGGGCTGGTAGAGCTCTCATTTGGAAATATAGCCAGATGACATTTTATGTGATTGGTTTTTAAATGTCTGTATTTATTTCTAAAACATAAAACTTCTTTTTCTTCATTCATAAACAGGCAACATCAGGTTTTCCATAAATGCTGCTGCTAATTCCAAACAGTCTCTTTGTAGGTTTGCTCAGTGCATGTTATTTGGCCCTAATAATGGCTGAGAGAGCAGAAGGAAGAGGCACCTGAAACTTATTTTGACATACGTTGTGTGCAGGTCATAAGGCAGCGGTTCTCAACCTGTGGGTCGCGACCCCTTTGGCGGTCGAACGACCCTTTCACAAGGGCCGCCTAAGACCATCCTGCATATCAGATATTTACATTATGATTTATAACAGTAGCAACATTACAGTTATGAAGTAGCAACGAAAATAATTTCATGGTTGGGTCACAACATGAGGAACTGTATTTAAAGGGCCAGAAGGTTGAGAACCACTGTCATAAGGGAAGATACTGTCTTTTACTCGATTTGGCTTCTTCATTAAGATTGGTAAGCTTGCCCTGACCGGTTTGGCTCAGTGGATAGAGCGTCGGCCTGCGGACTCAAGGGTCCTGGGTTCGATTCCGGTCAGGGGCATGTACGTTGGTTGCGGGCACATCCCCAGTGGGGGGCGTGCAGGAGGCAGCTGATCCATGTTTCTCTCTCATCTGTGTTTCTAACTCTCCCTTCCTCTCTGTAAAAAATCAATAAAATATATTTTTTAAAAAAGATTGGTAAGTTTAAGTTCCTTTTTTTGCAGGTTGGCATATTGCAGGACTAGGGACTACTATCAGCTATTTTCATGACTGATACTGAGTTGGTAAAACACGAGATGTTTTCCTCTCCCTTAGAATAGATGGGTGTTCTGTGGGCACACCAGGAAAGACTGCTCTTTCTGTCCTTGACTCTTCGACTCTTCGCTTTCTTTCAGAGAGTATACCCATCAGTGGTACAGTTCTTTTTTTTTTTTTTTTTATAATCAAGTGTTTTTAGAGACATGTCTATATGAATAAGTTTCTAGGATTTTTAACAATGTCCAGATGAGACTATTGTGTACTTGGCCTGGTAATTTTTAGGTAAAAGGTACTTCTCTAATCTGAAACACATTGTTCTTCCCTATCTAATTTCACAAAATCTCATTCGGTCACCATTATCCTATTGCAATGCAGTGCAAAGAACATTAGGGTGTTTTTTTTGGGGGGGGGGCGGGGAGACCCAGTTTCAAATAACACTCCTCTGCCTCAGTTTGTTCCTCTGATAAGTGAGAAGAGTAGTAATGATGAGGATATTAGGGCATTGGGTTAAGAGTTCTGCCTAGATTTTTTCACTTCGTTTTTATAGTAAGCTTTTGTCATGTCTTTGTTTACCAATATTTTCTCTATTTTTTAAAAGTAAGGAAATTAAACTGAGACACAAAGAATATAAGTAACTTGTTCAAGGTTGTACAGCTGGCAAGTGGCAAAGTTCAGATGCAAACCCAAATGTGTGCAACATGAAAGCCATCCCCTAAGCACTCTGCTAGGCAGCAACCCATAATAATACCCACATTGCTAGTTTAAGAATTACTTATGAAAATGAACATCTATTAACCAGCAGAGACTTTTGTACTATTAACATTTTATATAAATGTTAGTTCCCTTTACTTCTCTTATTTGGAGCAATTTAGTGATGAAAGGAAGAACATCTGTTTAGAATGATGACCTCTGCTAAGAGAAGCTGTGTCTTAGTTTTGCATAATGATACCATGATTGTTTTTCTTAGGGAGCAAATTATAAATGTCCATAAAGATGACAAAGGAACAAATCAGGCACCCCCCGGATTCTTTCTGAGGCTTGAAAATCTGTATGAAAAACATGCACATTAAAGGGAATTTTCCCCTCTCTTAAGTAGTGCCTATTTTAATCATAACCTTTGGAAGAAAATTTAAATGTGAAAAGGTGAAAATTAAAAGAACTATAAATAACAACAAATGACTACCTTGTAAATACAAAGCCACATTCACTCCTGGGGCTGTTATGTCTACAAACTATTTGAACAACAGTTAATAAGCACATTCCCAATGAAAGAAAGAGCTAACTGATGTTTCATCTGAGTGCACCCTTTGTCGAGCGTGTTCGGAAATGGAAGGCTGGGAGATAGGGATTTCTGTGCTTCTTGCTTTGAAATGTGTGCATGCGCCCACCAAAGAAAATGAAGGGTTTTCAGGTTTCCCAAATATTCCTTTGCTAATATTCATCTCTGTCGAAAATAATAATGTGCTCTGCCTGGATTAGCTAAAAAATCATCTACCTTTCTTGATGGGTTTTCCTTTTCTCTGGGTCCTCAAGCTGAGATAACCCACGTGTGGTTCCCAGGCTGGCATCACCTTGATTCATATGTTGCCATGAGGCTTGTCTTTGGGGGATCGGTGGGCTGACCCAGGGACAGCAAAGAGTCTAACTCTCTGCTGGGCAGACAAACAAGTTTCTGGCCCTACCGAAATTACATTTCATCCTCTGCATTCATAACTGTTGACCTATGTCACTTGAAAATGTAGGCTCGCTGTTTAGAAATGGAACCCCACATTCTTTGGGCCACAGAGAAGGCAACCCAAATACTAAGCTCTACTTTCTAATTTTAATCTTCAAGTTCCCATTATTCCCTTGAAAAGTTCTCTGTTCTTTCTTTTGTTATGTTTGAGGGCAAATATCATTACTTCAGATCATATTTTATGTGAGAATAAATTTATGTTTTTGAATGGTCTGGCCCATGAATAAGCTATTAATGTGACTAAAACTAGCATAAAAACAATAGCATCAATTTTTATAATTGTTCGGTTTCTGGCTCACCTAGTTTCAAGTTCTAGTTTCATTAGTTACTGTGTTTGATTATGGTAAGGTATCTAGCTTTACTGTGCCTTATTACTTTCATCTACACAGTAGGGGAGGATAATAGTTATTTGATGGAGTTGTTTTGAAAACTAATTGAGATGGTTTATAAGATGTTTAGCAAAGAGCCTAGAAGAGTTAAACTTTATGGAATATGCCCCTTAACTATTTGAATTCACAGTGGCAAGGAAAATCTTCTGGTTTAAGTACTAGAATGTATTACAGTGATCAGTTATCTAGCCTACAAATACAGGTATCCAGAAGAACCATCTACATCTATAATAATAAAAGCATAATATGTTAATTAGACTGGACGTCCGGGCTGTGAGGGAAGCCTGGATCCTGGGTGCCAGAGGGAAGCTGGTGCTGGCAGTCAGGGGAAGGAAGGCCTACTCTTGCACGAATTTCATGCATCGGGCCTCTAGTCTCATAATAAAATAGTCCTTTTTGAACATTTGTATCTTAGTCCAAGTCTCAGTTACTATAGAGCCAATATAATGGGGTTTTAAAGACATACATTATCTAAACGAATCCTTCTAATCACCTATCTTTATAGATGAGGAAACCAAGCCTCGTAGACAGTGAGGCTTGCCCATAATCAAATAGTTTGTGGTTAAGAATTAAAATGAGTGTCTGACTTAAGCCACAATGTTGCACTGCCAACCCACCAGAAAAGCTAAAAAAAATAGTCCAGGGTTGCACTATAATAAAACAACTCAAAATACAGAATTGTAGCTTTTATTTCTAAAATAAATATCAAGCCCTAGCTGGTTTGGCTCAGTGGATAGAGCGTTGGCCTGCAGACCAAAGGTTCCCGGTTTCGATACCAGTCAAGGGCACATGCCCAGGTTGCGGGCTCGATCCCCAGTAGGGAATGTTCAGGAGGCAGCCAATCAATGATTCTCCTCTCTCTCATCATTGATGTTTCTATCTCTCCCTCCCTCTCCATTCCTCTCTGAAATCAATAAAAATATGTTAATAAAATAAAATAAATATCAAGGAAAGAGTTCAAAGCATACATACTATTTTCATGACCTTTTAACCAGTTCATATGTCCCAAGCATGAGCTTTGCGAAACCTTTGGATCCATGGAGCCTTGTATGTTTTTATTTTGACCATTGCTTTAGTAATAATATGGGTGGAGTTTTTCTGTAAGCATTCCTTATATTTTTATGTTTGTGTTAATTACACCATGTACAAAGGAGTCTCACATATGTTTACAAAATAAACCCTTACTATACTTTTGTAATTACAAAGTCTGCTACTAAATTACTGTTTCATGTGTTTGTGTTTC